ATGCAATAGTCAGGGAGGATACTAAGGTAACGGTGATGACCTAGTGGAAGCTAGACAACATTAATTTTGCAGTGGGATTGACAAGTACAGTTTTTCTCATCTGCTGTGTAACAGGCTAAACATTCCTTAATCGATCTAAAAATCCATCTCTTCTCAGTTCTGTAAAATGGGAATACTTTTACCTACTACAGTGAGTTGCAGTGATAATTAAATGTGACAACATACATAGAAACTGACAGTGTCAGGCACACAGAGGAGTTCTATAAATGGTAGTTCTTCTACCTCGTCACAGAGTTCTCCCACACTGGTCTCTCTTAAGTCCTATCCAGACCCTTCCTAACCTCTTCTACTCCTGCAGATTTGTTTCCAAAGATTTGTTTCAAAGCTTCTCTACTGGAATTCACCAGGCCATTGAGAAATGGACTAAATGTTCCTTATCAACATTAATGAGGTAATACCATGTCATGTAAAAATGTACATTTTAAAATATTTTTCCTTTTACCTTACAATTCCCTTTAGTTATTTCAGCCAAATTAGTCAAGTCTGGTAATATGTGGGATAAAGGGTCACAGCAGCAAAGAGAAGTATAACCTCATCTAGTCATCCCTTTACTTACACCTCAGAGAAATGAGCCCAGTCCTACCAAGAAAATTGCATCTAGTAGTCCCCTTAGGCGGTAAGTCATGAAGTGAGCAGTGTTTCAGCAGAGAAGCCTCAGCTATGCAGAGGAACGACCAGCTGGTGGAGACTCAAAAGCATATTAGAGGTAGATCACCTTCCTTCACAAATACATACTAGAGGGTTACTATTGGTGGGTGGGAGAGAGTGAACACTTGGGTTACAAATCCCTTCAACTACCTATCTTTCTTGATTCTGAAAGTTGACATAGAAAGGGTAGGTGAGGAGGTAGTAAGAAAGTGCAGGCAACAAATGTTCACTTTCTTACCACCTACTCTCTCCTTAACAATGTTCAATCTGACTTCTTTCCTTACTACTCTACTAAACTTTAATGGAAAGTCAGTGATCAACTTCTACTGGACAAATCCAAAGAAACTTATTTCAATTCTCATCCACCCTAAACACTCTAATGCACACTACCCTTCTCCTTTTTAAAACCCTCCTCCCATATAGCTGATAAAATACAACATTCTCTGATTCTCTTCTTTATCTCTTTTACTGTTTCTTCTGTTTCTTTCAGTAACACCCTTCATCCTCCTGCCAATGAAAGAAAATGATCCTCTGACCTTTCCTCTGCATACAATCTCCCTCGTCAATTTAATCCATTCCGTGTTTCCATCCCCTAAGCATATATGATCCGAATACCTCTCTCCCTAACCTGAGTTATTACAAGCTAAAAAGCATTTCCAATCGCTTAAATATCCTACCACATCACATATCTGCAACCACTTATTCTATCTCCTACCACACCCATCCCTCCAACTTCCAACAAAATAAACAGATCCCTCTCTGGATTTCCAATTTGTATAAATGACTTCATTATTCTCCTAGTATTACATGCTGGAAACCAGCATTATCTTTGATGGTTCCTTCCTTCTTTCTAATGTTCCAAATATACTCAGTTACTAAATCCAGTAAATTCTACCTCCATAATGTCTCTCTTGTCCTCTATATTGCTATTGCCACTAATGTAATTCAGATTTCTGTCATTTCCCACATAGACTAATCCAAAGACATCCTTAATTGGTGTCTTTTCCTGTAGTCTTCCTGCTGCTAAATTAATCTTTTTAAAGTAAATCCCTGATCACAGTTACTTGCTGAAAACTTTCATTGAGTTCTCACTGGCTAACACATTAAATCTAAACTTCTCAGCCAGGGAGGCACTCCAGGCTTTATACCTTATCTCTGTTTCCAATTTTATCTCGTATTTCCCCATGCATATTTTTAAAAAATCTCGTTTCCCCATATGTTGCAGTCAGGTGGACTTTTTTTTCTCTGTTCCTGAAATATTCCCTACATTGTACCAGTTTATATTTTGGGGTTTAATATCTGAAATACCTTTACTTATTCTTTTATCAACTTTCTACCCATTCTTCAAAACAGAACTCAAATGTCATTTTCTCTCTGAAGCTCTCGCACACCTTCTCTAACGGATGGTATTTTACTCCGCTCCCTTAAACTTGCTAGCATTTCTGTGTACTTCTGCATCTTAGTCTGTGTGCTTGTTGTGAACTTACTATCACTTGAAATTGCTTTCCCCTAAGATCCTGAGCTCTGAAATCTCCCTCTCTAATAAAATTCTCCTGTCTTTCCCACACTCCACTGAATCTATTTTGGGCTCATAGTGATCTTTGGTCTTTCAATAATCAATAACCTATGAAACACCTTTCAATAACCTTTCAATAATCAATAACTTCCATTACACTTCCCCCATATCCCTACCTCCAAAGTCCATCATTATCCTACATCCTCATTTAGTCCCCTCCCCAACCTAAATTCCCATGACAGCATTTTAACAGCAAGGATACTCATCTCCACATTCATTCCACCGTCACTTCAAACTCAGCATGACCCAAACTAAATCACCTTCTCCCACAAACTTGCTTCTTTAATGCTCTTAGTTAACTAAAACTATTGATTCCTCTCTCACTGCACAATCATTCACAAAGATATATTGAGTCCATCTCTAAATTTATGTATTCTTCATCCCTAAATCCACTGCTAGTGCCTCTAGTATCTCCTAACTCCAATTCACTTTCTTTTGTAACAGCTAAATAATCTTCCTTAAAAATACTGATCTGATAGTGCCATACTCTACTGCTTTAAAACTTTCCAGAGCTCTACGGTTCCCATAATATCCAAACTCCTGAGCATGGCATTCAGTCCCTGCCCCTTCTCCAAACACAGATCCTAAGTTCAAAACACTGAAATACATTCTCCTTTGTTTTCATGTGATCACATTCTATTCTTGTTCAAATAATTCACACTGAAGCCCGGTTCCAAAGCCCCCTATTCTGTGAAGGCTCCATTACACTCCCCTATATGCCTACCTCCCCAACAAAGTCTGAGTCATCTCCTCCTCTCTATTTCTACAGTACTTTGTTCATGTAACTAAGAGATCTCTTATCACATTAGATTACGCATATACTCACTAGTCTTCTTACCTCAGACAGTGGGCTCTTTGAGAGAAACAAGCTTGTTTTATTCATATTTATATCTATAGTATCTAATATAGTGTTTGGCACATGAAAAGGTCTCAACAAATGTTTACGAAATAAATGAAATCTAATTTCAGAATGTCTAAAATCAATCTACCCTGGGTGTTTTACCAAGTAATTTCGGGTCAAAATGTCTAGAAAAGCATGTGATGGGCCCTAAATATATGGATAAAATGAGACGAGAAGATGATTCTAGGATACTTGCAACAGTTACAGGCGTTAGGGCCAGAATATAAGGGCCAGCAAGGTTACCATTCCCTCCTCACTGTTAGTACTCTTCCCACAGGCTACGGAGCCATGCTAGAGTAACAGGACTTCAGTGAAGAAGGAATCAAGGAGCAATCAAGTGTAGAGGACAAAGGGGAAGGAGAGAGTAGGGAAAAAATGCTACACTGCAGCTGCAAAAAGGGAAGTATACAGGGTCAGAGATTACAAACTCAGGGCTGGCTCATGACTGCACATCACTGTTGTCACTATCCTCATCAACAACTACCATTTACTGATCACCTACCTATTTACCATAGTGTGCTAAAAGCTGTACCACATGTATCATTTAATGTTCATGACAAACCTATCAGGCAGATATTACCCACTTGGCTTTACTGCTTTGCATTATTTAGCTATCTTTGAAAGTACACGTCTTATTTTTCCTACTACTAGAAAGGTACTTTTGAAGGTAGAGTTCATGAGTAATGTTTTTTATTGCCTCCCTAGTATCTCATAATGAGCTTCATATATAGTAATCACACAGTATTTGATTAATTTATGGTTACATCTGTGTACTAGTAAAAATAAAAAGGAACCACACCAATCTTTGGTTAACATATAGCCAAATAAAAAAACAGATGATTTAGCCCCTTTGAGAACTATGTGCTGAGGTAAGACCTTGAGTCATTAATAGTAAGAGACCTTAAAACACAAATCACAGACACAAAAACAAGGAAATATGTATTTGTGTATCATAATAAAAAAGATATCTAGGACATATTGCTCTTTTCTTCATATCCGGATATAAACATAATAACTACTATGAGTAGTCATACACTGTATCAAACAAATTAACTTTTTACTTAAATGTGGAAAAACATGCTTCAATTAATGGCAATTTATCTTTTTTTATTTTCTCTTACAGAAAGCTGTAAAAAGATGTAACAGTGGACTTGCATCTTCTACATAGGTTCAGTTCTGAAAACAGTATCAGTACATAAGGCAAATAGCAATTAGCGGCAAAATAATACTTAAAAAGGTCTTAAACTGCCTTTAAAGCACAGTACAATACAGTACCAGCTCTCAATAAATCCATCGCAGCCAGTCTTCCCCTCTCCTGCATGGAAGACATTGCCGTTTCTTCTGCTGTGTGTCAGATATTGTGTATTTGGCCCATATTTCGAGGCCATATTGAATGAAAAAGCATATGTTTATACACTGGAAGTATATTCAACATTGTGAGACTCTCAGACTATATCATTTCCCGTAACAGGTATATAGGAACCTGATTCCATCTAAGAGAACAGCAGATTCTTGTCTCCCATCTATCACATGCTTGCTAGGGCATATGGTCATTACGGAATGAAAGCTAGAATTACTACTGTATTTAAATTATTTGGTGTTTTATTTTGGGGCTTTCTTTTGTTTTGTATTTTGTTTTTGGCTTGAGCCCAGAGATGTTAGTTTGAATAAGTTATAATCCTAGAAATGTGACTTTACTATGTGTACTATCTCTTGTTTATTGTGCAACCACAGATGCCTAAAATTCTAGGCACCAATAATCTATACTCTAATACTATAGTTTTTGATTAAACAAAATAAAACAACTTATCTTACCTTCATCTATTGATGCTTCACTACTGTATCCATCATACTGTGCAGACAGAGGACTATATTTTTGTCTTGTTTCCCAAGCATAGTTCTTTTGTCTAGAATCTGCCAATGGTAGTCTGGAATTGTGTGTTCTGGATAAGGCCTCATGATATTTACCCAGTGCTTCATCTTCACTTTCAGAGGATGAACCATGCTCATCCTTATGCATGTATGAATTATCTATATGAAACGAAAGGGAAGGCAAAAAATAATTTCAATGCAAAGTTTTATATATGTATATGTAATAACAACTAACAACAACATATATCTATATATTTATATATGTATACTCACAAACTATACATATATATATATACACACACACATCTGGATTTGTAACTTTAGAGAAATACAATTTTTTTCATTTAAGGATTATTGCATCATTAAGTTTTAACAGAAAAAGATCAATCTTGCATATTTTAATCACATCGATAATGTTAGTCAAGAGGATTTTTCAAACATGTTAGATATAAAAGAAATTATAGTGCTCATCATCTTATGCAGTTTTTTAAAAAATTAAAATATATCTTCTGGGCTATACCACATATATACGCATTTTACATCAGCACTCAGTGTCTGCTCATCTCTCTCACACCTTCACATTAAATGGAAAACACATAAGTTGGTCAAAGAAAGCAATCAGGTTTTTATTTTTTTTAAAAAAAGGTAGCACACAAAGGAACTTTTAAGTATTTGCCAGTATAACAAATGAACCAGATTCAAATAATCAAAATTTGTGTTATCAAGAGACATTTTTGGTTAACATCTTGGCCAAATTCTTCAAAACTAACGATACTCAGTACTAAAAGGGGAACACAGAAATGTGTAGATTTATACACTATTGGTGAAATTATAATTGGTACAACTTTTCTAGAGAGCAATTTGGCAATGTATATCAAATTGTTAAATCTGCATAGTATTTGATCCATTTCTAAGAATTTATCAATCCCATTTCTAAAAATTCAGCCTAAGAAGATAATCACTGTGAACAAAAATATGTATTTGAGACAATTCACTGCAGAATTGTTTTCAATAGCAAAGGAAAAATATTTTTAAGAAGTAACTTACATGTCCATCAGTGGGCTCTGATTAAATAAATGGTGATATTTGTATACAGTGATATAGTATATACTCATTAAAAACGAGGAGGTGAACTTACACAAGTTCTGACAGGAAAAGGACAGCTACAACATCATGTTAAGAGAAAAGCCCATTGCCGTCGAGTCGATCCCAACTCATGGCGACCCTATAGGACAGAGTAGAACTGCCCCATAGGGTTTCCAAGGAGCAGCTGGTGGATTTGAACTGCCAACCTTTTGGTTAGCAGCCAAACTCTTAACCGCTATGCCACCGGGGTTTCCACATTAAGAGAAAAGAGGTTACAAAACAGTAGATGGACGGCCCTATTTAAAACACACACACACACTACATTTTTACAAGCATATACAGAAATGTCTGGAAGGATAGAAAACAGACAACACTACCTACCTGTGAAAGGCAGGGTTACTAGGAAATTTTTACTTAAAGTTATACCCAAATTTCATATAAAATTTTCAGCATCTATACATTTTATACTATTTTAAAAGGCACTACTTATTTTTTTTTTAAAGTTAACATAGTTTGAAACTGTACCATGTTGAGATTCATTTAAACCAAGAGGCAACCTTCTTAGAATTATTACATCACTTTAAAAGGGTGAAAAGGCCACAGTAGTTAGAAATGACTAGTTCAGTCTAATTATTTTTCTCTTTATTCTCAGTTGAGAACATCTGTACTAAAGGAATCAAAGTCTGAAGTTTGGATGGGGAGGCACAGAATAAGGAATTTTAAAATATGGGAATTTTTTTTTTTAAATCTAACAATTAAAAAAAAAACAAAGAGGCATGAAACAGCTTTTGGGGATAATGGACATGTTCATTATCTTTGTGATGAAGGTTTCATGGTGTATACATGTGTCAGAACATCAAACCATACACTTTAAATATGTGCAGTTTATTGTATGCCAATTATACCTCAATAAAGTGGGAAAAAATGAAAAAAAAATATGGGACAAAATTTGAATATTTAGAGTTAGAAATAAGGGAGCTTAGAAAAATCACTAACTAGATAGTAGACCAGGATTAACTTTGGTGAAGGGAAAGAAAACACACAATATAGGGGAAGGCGGCGCAACTTGACCCAAGGCCAAGTCATAAAAGCTTCCTAGACACATTCAAACACCTTGGGGGACCGAGTGACTGGGGCTGAGGGCTAAGGACCATGGTGTCAGGGGTCACCTAGGTCAACTGGCATAACATAGTTCATAAAGAAAATGCTCTACACCCTACTTTGGTGAGCAGGGTCTGGGGTCTTAAAAGCTTACGAGCAGCCATCTAAGATGCATCTATTGGTCCCATCACATTCGGAGCAAAGGAGAATGAAGAAAACCAAAGACACAAGGAAAATATTAGTCCAAAAGACTAAGGGACCACATGAACCACAGCCTCCACCAGTGTGAGCCCAGAAGAACTAGATGGTGCCCGGCTACCACCACTGACCACACTGACAGGGATCACAACAGAGGGTCCCAGAGAGAGCAGGAGAAAAATGTACAACAAAATGCAAATTTACAAAATAAACCAGACTTACTGGCCTGACAGAGACGGAAGGAACCCTGAGACTATGGCCCCTGGACACCTCACTAACTCAGAACTGAAGCCACTTCAGAAGCCTACTTTTCAGCCAAAGATTAAACAATAAAATAAACAATAACACATGTGAGGAACGTGCTTCTTAGTTCAATCAAGTATACGGGACCAAGTGGGCAACACCTGCCCAAAAGGAACGACAAGAAGGCAGGAAGGGGCAGGAGAACTGGACGAATGGACATGGGGAACCTGGGGTGTAAAGGGGGAGAGTGCTGACACATTGCGGGGATTGCAACCAATGTTACAAAACAATTTGTGGATGAATTTTTGAATGACAAACTAATTCGTGCTGTAAACTTTCACCTAAAGTACAATAAACTACTTCCGTAGTTTAGTAAAACAAAGGAATAGAAGACTAAAACTATGACCAGTATATTTTGTGCTGCCCAAATGTAGCCACTAGCTGCATGTGGAAACCCTGTGGTGTAGTGGTTAAAAGCCATGGCTGCTAACCAAAAGGTCAGCAGTTCGAATCCACCAGGTGCTCCTTGGAAACTCTATGGGGCAGTTCTACTCTGTCCTGTAGGGTCAATATGAGTCAGAATCGACTTGACCTCAATGGGATTTTTGGTAGCTGCATGTGCTTATTTAAATTTAAACTAATTACAATTAAGTGAAACTTAAAATCCAGCTCTGCGGTGGTACTAGCCACATTTCAAGTGCTTAACAGCCGCATTTGGCTAGTGGTTACTGTATTGAACAATGTAGATAGAGAGAATGTTTCCATTACTGCAGAAAGTCACGGTGGGTAGTGCTGAGAAGATGGCAGAGCCAGATTAGAACTTATGCCTTCTGCCTCTCAGTTCAGAGCTTTTACACTTTGTGGAATACCACTGTGGTGGCTTAAGGCAGTAGGTGGGCTTTGAGACTCTTGCAGAAGGTAACTAGAAATTCTGTAGTCAAACTTGACCTATTATAAAATTTTACCTAAGGTAGCACTACTTCAGTAATACACAAGGAATCTCTTCCCTCTTCTTTCTATACCTTATAACGCCTATGTCAGAACCTAGAACAAAGGCCGCATTAATATCATGTCACTGTTGTTGGCTGCCATCGAGTTGGTATCCAAATCATGGCAACTCCATGCACAACAGGATTGGACTGTTGCGATCCATGGATTTTCACAGTGATTTTTCAAAAGTAGATAGGCAGGCCTTTCTTTCTAGTCTGTGTTAGTCTGGAAACTCCACTGAAACCTGTTCAGCATTATCGCAACACAAAAGCCTCCACTGCAGACAGGTGGTGGCTGTATCGGCTGGGAATCAAACCTGAGTGTCTCACATGGAGGGGAAGAATCCTACCACTGAACCAACATTGATCCCTGTTAATACTGTAGTTCAGCTAAATGAAGGGTTAATCAATGGGTCAAACAACTTTCAAAACAATTTTGGAACATAACACGTTTAAGTTTAGTACTGGCTACATTCTGGAATACCTGAGAGATACGTGGTTTCTTTAGGTACCAGCACGCTTCTTAATGAAAACAAATCAAAACAAACTTTGAAACCCTATACTACTACTTATCCATGGATAAACCATTCCATTATATTTTGAAGAAAAAAATATGTAAGCTATTCTCTGAACTTACTCTTGAATGTAGAGTAGCTAAAGCGAAAGGAAGAAATGATCATGTAAAAGAGCTGAACAGAAGATTTCAAAGGACAGCTTCAGAAGACAAAGTAAGATATTGTAATGAAACGTGCAAAGACCTGGAGTTAGAAAACCAAAAGAGAAGAACACATTCAGCATTTCTCAAGCTGAAAGAACTAAAGAAAAAATTCAACCGTCGAGTTGCAACAGTGAAGGATTCTATGGGCAAAATATTGAATGATAAAGGAAGCATCAAAAGAAGATGGAAGGAATACACAGTCATTGTACCAAAAAGAATTGGTCGACATTCAACAAGTTCAGAAGGTAACATATGATCAAGAACCAATGGCACTGAAAGAAGTCCAAGTTGCACTGAAGGCACTGGTGAAAACCGAGGCTCCAGGAATTGATGGAAAACCAATTGAGATGTTTCAACGAACGGATGTAGTGCTGGAAGTGCCCACTCATCTATGTCAAGAAATTTCTAAGACAGCTACCTGGCCAACTGACTGAGAGCGATCCATATTTATGCCTATTCCAAAGAAGGTGATCCACCAGGATGCAGAAATTATCAAACAACAGCATTAATATCACATGGAAGTAAAACTTTGTTGAAGATAATTAAAAAATGGTTGCAGCAGTACATCAACAGGGAACTGCCAGAAATTCAAGCTGGATTCAGAAGAGTACATGGAAAGAGGGATATCCCTGCTGATGTCAGATGGATTTTGGCTGAAAGCAGAGAATACCAGAAAGATCTTTACCTGTGTTTACTGACTATGCAAAGGCATTCGATTATGTGGATCAAAACAAATCATGGATAACATTGAGAAGAACTGGAATTCCAGGAACACTTAATTGTGCTCATGAGGAACCTGTATTTAGACCAAGAGGCAGTTCAAA